GTAAAACAAACACTGCCTTTCTTCTGCATTCTCCATTTTTTTTTCTCTTTTCCCAAGAAAAACTTTTCTCGCATTTTCTCTCTGTTTCTTTTCCACTCTGTTTTTTTCTTTCTTCCGTAATGGCGGCGCAAGTCGAGATCGAGGATGTAGCGTCCGCCACCAACCTTGATAACGGCGAAATCTTCAATCCACTTTCCGACGACGCTGATTCCTCTCTTGTTTCTGACGGTGCTTCTGGATCTTTCTCTACCGACTCAGTCGTTCTTCTCGGCGAAGGAAACCCCGAGCGCGACGTTATCACGACGTGTTTTCTCTCCGGTATGGGTACCGTCGCTAACGACACGACGATCGTTGCCGTAAGTAAGAACTCTTCGGAATGGATCACGACGAGAGCGAAGTTTCTGGCGTTTAAGGTTTTTACGGAAGCCATGGCGAGGAAGAACGGCGGAGATGCAAATGTCAAGTATGGTTGGTACGCTGGTTCTAAAGATGAGATCGAAGGGATAATCTCGTACGGATTTAGCAGCCGTGAGGTCAGTAAATTCGAGAATGAAGCTAGTTCTCATGGAATCGGAATCCATCTTGTTCCTTCTAAGTGCTCCATTTTTGCGTAAGTCCGATTTCATTACTCTGATTGTAGCTTATCGATTTGATTGAATCATTGATTGGGTTCAAAATCCTTGAAAATTTCGTTAGGGTTACTTTGTGAAGAAGATTTCTGGGAAGATTGAAATTGGAATGTAACAGTGAAAACATAATATCTGCAGGGCTGCGTCTACAGAGCCAGACGAGGAAGGTTTAAAGCATCTTCTCTTATGCCGTATAATCCTCGGGAAACCTGAGGTAATCATCTCTGGCTCGAAACAATCGTATCCGAGCTCGGCTGATTTTGATTCTGGTGTGGATAATCTCCATAATCCTAGAAAGTATATCATATGGAGCTCTACCATGAATTCGTATATCTTACCGAGTTATGTCGTCAGTTTTAGGTCTCCGCATCTCAGAGGTTAATAACACTCTTTCTTCAAGCTCTTACGAATTTGTAATTTCGGTGTTTGATAGTGTCTTAGTGCTAATCTGATATGTTTTTTTCAGTTTTGAGTACACGACCGAGCTCGCCGTGGGTTAGTTTTGCCGCACTGATGTCAATGCTGTCTAAGTCGATGGATCCTTCAAGAATGAACTTGATCGTTAGAACGTACGACGATTTTCGGGTATGGACCGGTTTTCATTTCAATTCAGTTCCCTATTTGTATATATGCTCTACTTAATCCACAGTTCTAATGCGGTTTCATCGCAGAAACGGAAGATTCGGAGAGACGTTTTGGTTAAGAAGATGAGGGAAGTGGCTGGAGACAACCTTTTGGCTCAGATAATCAAGAATCATGGAGGCAGAAACAAGGCCAATGTGTGAAAGGTAGAGATAGATACAAAGGTACTATTGTCTTCAATGAATCGAATTTAATGGGAAAGTCTTTATTATTCTTTCTTATGGAGCAAGGATTGGTTTTAACTTATAATTTGTTGTTTGAGTATCTATGAAAAAGGGATCTTTTCTTGTCAAACTCCACATCAGATTATATACCTTTAGACGTGTGTGATCTTAATTTATGCAAAGTTTGAGACCATTCATTTGCTTTCATTAAACATATGAAATTAAGGAATTGTCTTTCCTTTCTAGAATATTACTA